ATATCCCTAAAACCATACGTACCTCTGATGTCTGGCAGTTGACCTGCTAGGGTTCATTTCCTGTGTGCCTTGTGGAAATGGGAGACAATGTTTTAATGGATTGTGTGAGACCTTTCCACAGTGGTGACCTGGCTGTCTGCAGGCCCCAGTGAGCCAGGGTAAGCCAAGGCCAGGGAGTAATCAGGAGGATTTACTTCCTTTTGGTCAGTTTGGAGATGGTCAGATTCAAGCTTGAGCAGTGTAAGGAGAAGACAGAGGAGGAATAGGAGTTGCAGCTGCTCCTAGGGCAGCAGGACATGCTACACGGAGAGTCACTGGGCAGTCCTTGAGCTGGCAGTGAGATCAGTTGCTGTTTCACCCAAGTAGGCAGAAATACACCCAGAGAAGCTCTGCTACAGGCATATGGGTAGGTAGTGCTGGGAGCTGCTAGTCCCATGTTCCCACTACTCGTTATGGGAGGACTGCCTGCAAGGACAGCTGTGCAGAGCCTGGAGTTTTCTGATGCTTCTCTACGTCATATGAATTATTCAAAGAGGAGAAAGAAACTGTAACCAGTTCTGCAACAACAGAACCAGTTTTGCTCCAGCCAAGCAAAACTTTCTCTGCTCCTAAGTATGTTTTCTCTTCTTTCTCTCTCTCTTCTTTCCTTTCCCTCTCTTCTCCTCTCCTGGTTTGTACTAGGAATAAAGGATTTCAGTGAAAGCTGCTTATCTGACTCACATAACCATGAGGAAGTGTATTTTCCAACATCTGCTTCCTCAGAGTGGAGCTGGGACTATCCAGACATTTGGTATTTGTATTATAGAGACATCTAAAACCCAGAGATTGAGGGCCAATGCGAAGAGCCAGGAGAGGAATGGAGCAGTGGATGTATAGCCCTTGCATGGCTTTGGCCCATATTTGCATCCTGTTCAATGCTACTCACTCAGTTAAAACATCCAAATGAGGAGTTTGTAAGTGAAAACAGTTCAGATACGGTTTATTTCTCTGGAGGAATCTTGCTTTCTTTTTTTTCTTGTCTCTGTCTGAAGAGTCTGGATAGACCAAGCTCTGAACAGAAGTTATGGGCAAAGTGTGGCCACTGTACCTGTAAGGATAATGACAGTGTAGGTCAGGAGGAGGATTACCAGAGCCATGGCAGCTTGCTCAGGGACACCAGGTGGCCTGAGGCAGAACAGGAGCCGAGGTTTGTGGCTGGGCAGCAGCCTACCTGCCCATCTGCCCTCCACATGGCAACTCTCAGCTGGGGACTTCCAGAGGAAACCAATTCTTATCCTGCTGGTGGCCTGATGAGGCACTGCTGGGTTCTTATTTTAACTTGTCTTAGGAGAGTAAAGTAATGTGCCAAAGTAATATACCAAACACAAAGCTTTCCCTTTTTCTAACAGCCTGTATGGTTTCTGCCTTCCCCTTCACCCAAAGAACAGGGAAGGGAGGAAAAGGAATATATGGAAAAGGAGTATATGAAATAGTTTGTTTTTTCAGTGCTTTTTTGTTTGTTGGTTTGGTTTTTTGGTTTGTTTTGCTTTGTTTTTTATTTTTGTTTGTTTGGTTTCTTTTGTTTTATATTTTGCTTTGGTTTTGTTTCTTTGGTTTGTTTTTTGTTTGGTTTTTTATTATTCGTTACTTGTCTGTAACTCAAATTCAATAACTGAGGCCTTGCCAAAAGCAGAAGGTTTTCATTTGACTCCAGCCAACATGCAGGCATGATGAGCATACTGGAAGGCTGCATTTCTGTGCAAGTTTTCATTAAGTACTTTCTGCCATGCTAGGAGAAGTGTTGTCATATTGAAGTCACATGGAGCTGGACTGGTTCACCTCTTTGAGCCATGCTGTGTTTCAAAAATGTAATGGTTTTATTTATAGCCAGAATTCCATATGTTTTTCAAACAGCTTTGCCTCAGTGCACCTCTGCATCTATCTGCCCAAGGGCCCAGCAACATCAATAATAAATGACCAGGCTGGGGAAGGCGAGTTTGGGTTCAAACCAGCAGGTGCATTGGAGTAGGGGAGCTCCCTTGGGTGGGGGGTACACAGTGAATGGGAACTGTAGCTTGCAATAATTCCCTTCCTGCAGAAAGGACTCATAAATGTTTAATAAACTCCTGGCCCCTGCCATAGATGAGGTCTTATTAATGAACTGGAGTGGCTTGAGGACAGGTATTGTGTCCGTTACTATAGCACCACCTTGCACAGGATCTCGGCATGAAAGAGCCAGGGGAGGGAGGGAAGGAGAGAGGGAGGGATGCATTGAGGATGAGCCCCAGCCAGCCAGCCTGAGGTTCGCCTGTGGAGCAGGCAGCTCATCCTGCCCAGGGACACTGGCCCTCAGCAGCACCTCCAGCTCCCCAGCTGCAGCGAGCAGACGAGCTGCCCCCATACAGGTACCGAGCGCACGGATGCACAGCAGAGCTGCTGCAAGTGCAACACTGAGTCCCTGAGTGCTTCTGAGGGGCCTTCGCTCCAGAGCTTTGCCCTTCTGGACTTGAAGATCTGGTTTGATTTTTTTTTTTTTTTTTTTTTTT